GGGCCCCCCTCCCCGTCACGTGACATCACCTGACCCGGGCCACCCCGTCACATGACACTGCCTGACCAGCATCGCCCCCTCTCACCAGCAGGCAGGTCCCCATCCACTCGGACACCAGCACATCCACCTTCTCTGGAAGCACCACATCCTCCACCTTCTGCTGGAACACGGTGATGGTGTCGGCGAAGCCATTCTGCAGGACCAGCTGGCCCGTGTGCTGCGCCATCTCGCTGGCCTCCACGGCGTACACCTACGGCCGGGACAGAAGCCCATCGGGCAAGCGTGCTGAGAGGCTTCTGACCCCACTCCGCACGCCGGCTGTCGCATCTCTGGGTCTGAGTCGACTGAGGCAGCTGGACTAGAATCGACATCAGAAAGCCACTGCTGGCAGCAGGAGAAGGAGACAGGTCTGGATGGCGGTGGGCAGGGCAAGGCCTGCCGCCACACGGCCCCGGCCACGCACCTACTCTGGACACTGACAGTGCCTGGAGGGGCTCTGTTTCCAGACAGAAGAGCTGCCTCTAGTCCCTCTCCCTCCTGCACGTCTGCCCCACCCAGGACCACCCACTCTAGGAAGCCCTCCTGGCTAAGGCTGGTGGACAGGCTTGTGCACACACAGCCAGGCACAGCCTACAGCCAACCCTGGAGGCTCCTGGAGCCCAACGGCACAGCCAGAGGCTGTCTCTGTCTCCAGTGACTGCACCAGGCGACTCGAAACAGAGGGTCTCGGAGGACGGCCCAGCGGAGCACAGCCAAGGCCAAGTCCCAGTTCTGGCAGAATCTGGGTCAGGCGGGCCCTATAAAACAGGACTGTCAGCCACCGGTGCCAGGTGTCACAAGGCACAGCTCACCACCACAGGCAGACAAGCCTTAAGGCGAGAGGGCCACGTTTCAGGGGGAGTGAGGGTCTGTCACAAGGCACAGCTCACCACCACAGGCAGACAAGCCTTAAGGCAAGAGGGCCACGTTTCAGGGGGAGTGAGGGTCTGTCACAAGGCACAGCTCACCACCACAGGCAGACAAGCCTTAAGGCAAGAGGGCCGCGTTTCAGGGGGAGTGAGGGTCTTTCATGTCCCGTGAGGTGGGCGGTACTCTGAGCAGGGCGAGGTCTCAGACCCTGACCACAGGGTGCATCACACCCCGATAGTGATCTGCACACTGCAGCCCAGCTTGACATGGGACACTTGTCTCTGCTTCCAGCTAAATAAATGTTTTACAAAAATACCCCCCCAAGCACCTCACTCTGGTATTTCCTATCCTGCCCTATTCCATTCCGTGGAAAAACAAGTGCCGTTTATGCCTCATTATGCCTCACAAGGCTCGGCCCCCGACTGGGAGCTGCTGCCCACTTCCGCAAACACAGTGTCTGGCATAAGGGACACTTCACAAAGACAGCTGCATGAACAGACAATTCGAAAGTGAGTTTCCCAGCAGGGAACCTTCTCGGTGCGCCCGCCTCAGCACCAACAAGCTGGAGGACCAGCGTTTCCTACTCACAGCTCTGGGCTGAGCGTGATGCGCACAGAAGAGGCTGATGATCCCGGTTCCACAGCCAACGTCCAAAATCACTTTATCTTTCAGGGAATCTTTATTCTGTAGGATAACGTTGTGGTACTTAGTTGTTCGTGGCTGGTCGGCCAACATTTCCAAGTGAAGTTTCTAGAGGAAATACACATGTAGAATCACTGTCATTAGCCTAACGTATGTGGAATTCTGGTTTAAGACAGAGGATTAGAGCCAGGATGAGCACCTTGTAGCCCTCCACTCGGAACAAATAGGTTTAAGAAAGCAAAAATATACCAGCACACAAAAGTCAAAGTGGCCGATAAACGAGTGATGCAGAAGTTTCCAGCATCCTCCCGGCTCAGCACGGTGCTCCCCGTAGCTTCTCGCTACGTCCTCTCCTAAGAGCCAGGCAGGTGGAGAAACAGCTGTGGACCAGTTGGGATGGAGGTGCGAATGTCAGCCTCGGACCACCGCCAATCCCACCCGAGACAGCAGGAACTCCCACATTCCCAACACCAGGCGCCACCTGGTCAAGCAACCACCAAGAGAGAGCACCAGAAGCACATAGGAGCCGAGAGGGACCACCAGAGGGAGCTCACAGGGGCCCTTGGCAAAGGCTGCAAGCTCCCTCTGCAAGGGGCCCAAAAATCACATTTCACGCACAGATTTGCCCCTTGTTCACTCAAGGAGTGCAGACACTATAGCTCAGGAGAGGGAGATGACACCAAGCTGGAGAATAACCCTGGCCAACTCTCCGGGAGGAGGACCCCTCAAAAGCCAAGGCTAATCCCCCAGTAGGGGGACTCAGAGAAAGGCTCACGCAGGACAGTGAAGAAAGCCACAGAAGGGTGGTCAGAGCCCCCATCTACAGACAAGGCCACACAGACACAGCACTGCCTCCTCCAGTCGTCCCATTCTCCATCCCCACGCCTGCATCTCACTTCCTATCTTCCATCCCCGCCCCCCAGCACTTTCGAACTGTAGAAAGCCCAGCCGACAACTGTATCACTAAGAGGGAATGCAGCCAAGGACGGGCCACCTAGACTGTGTCCCCACAACTAGGAGGTCTGGGAGAGCTTCCACGGCACCCTCACAAACATACTGTAGACTGAAAAATAAAGGGAGGACGGGAGGCAGGGAGCATGAGGAAAGGGAGGTAAACAGCATGAACAGGAAGAAGCACATGCTGTTCAAATGAAAATACCTCCCCTTCATCACTACAGCGTAAATTCAAAGAGGCATAAATTTAGTAAAAGAAGTACCTGAAGACAAGATGCTAAAATTACGTACAGAATGAGATTTTAAAAGGCAGGGGTGTTGCAAAGTTTAGGGGGAAATTTGAGGGCCACAACACCACCATCACAGAACTGCACGCAGAGGGTTAACCCAAACTTTCCCCTCCCGCACAAGAACCCAACCCCAGACTGGCCTTCTGCCTCTGTTCCCCTGGAGACCTTATAAAGATGGTTTGTCAACCATGTAACTCAGCAGCGCTGCTTATGCCAAAATGAACCCTGACTGGAGACTGGATCTGGGCAGAGAACTGTAAGTGCTTGGCAGGGATGCCATGGCTTTGGGCTTCCCTGAGTGTGATGACTCTTGAAATTGGGCGTGTCCCTTGCAAGGACCTTGGAAGCTTTGCCTATGAAACAATCACAAGATGTACTGGGCCTTGTGAGGTATGAAGCTTTAAAGCCAAAGTTGCTCCTACGGTGTGGATCTTGTTCCCTTGAACCTGAGCTACTGGCTTGCTACAAGGACTCTCCCCCACCCCCCGAAGACGAGCCTCTAGTCCCACCCTGCTGGCAAGCTTGGCTCCTTAGCTGACTAGTGCCAAGTATAGTTTATGGTCATTGTGTGAAACTGAAAATTTAGCAGATCCTGAGACGACCTCCCATGAGCACTGCAATGATTAATAATGATTCAGAAACAGGAATGAACAGAAAATACACAGCTAAAAAGAGGAGTACTTTACATATCACAGTGAATGTTGAGGAATAAGAAAAGGCAATCAAAGTAATTATGGAGAAAATAATAACCACAAAAGACTGACAAAGATGATCCAACTTAAGGATAACGGGTGTCCTGGACGTAGAGAAACCAACCAAAGGCACAGAAAATTTATTCAAAGAAGGAAGGAAGAACCGGCTCTGCAAAATGTTATACTGATACCAAAAAAATACAGAACAATCAACACAAAACTTAGAATCTTTTTTAAGTCATTGATTTTCAAAAATGGTGAAAGACTTCTTCATGCTTCAGGCAAGACAAAAAGCAAGCCATGTTTAAGGGGGACAGAGGAAATCAGGAGGGCCTCACACCTCTCCACTGCACCTGTAATGTCAAAATGCTGAGGAAAAGAAACTGTAATCCAAAAACATTTCTCCAGCTAACTTATGATTCAACATGAAATAATGTGAAATACAGACCCAAATCAAACTTCTGGAGGTGAAAACTATGTCTAGATGGGGTTAACAACAGATTAGACACTGCACAATAAAAAGATTAGTTAACTTGAGAGAGAGAAAACAAAAACAAACCAAAAACCTGAAAAAAAAATCAGTCGAGCATCAGTGAGCTGTGGAACAACTGACGAGTGGCCTAATACGTGTACAATTGGAGTCTACAAAGGAGGAGACAGAAAATAATCTTCAAAAAGGCCTGAAAATTTTCTAAATTTGATGATAACTACCCAAGATGGTCAACAAACTCCAACCTTAAGAAGCATGAAGAAAACAAACACCAAAACACGTCATGATAAGGTAACTTCAAACAACTGATAAAGAGGAAGTCTTATAAGCAGCCAGAGAAAAATGACACAGTCTGTACAGAGGTACAAAGAAAATGATGACAGGAGATTTCTCATCAGAAACCATACAAGCCAGAAGACAGTGGAGCAGTGACTTTAAAGCAATGAAAGGGGGGTAGAAGGGAGGGAGAAACTGACAAATGAGAATTCTATACTCAGCAAAAATATCTTCTAAAATGAAGATGAAATAAAGACTTTTCTCAGCCAAGCAGAAGTTGAAAGAATTCAACAACAGCAGATGTGTACTACAAGAAATGTTAAAGAAAATCTTTTGCGGGGAAAAAAAAAAAAGATACCAGATTGAAATACAGATCTACACAAAATAAAAGCACCAAAAAAGGTAACTCTATAGATAAATACAATTTTTTTTAAATATTTAAATCTTTTTAAGAAGATAATTGACTAAGGCAAATATGGTAACAACATATTGTGAGGTCTATAACATACGCAGAAGTAAAATTACGACAATGTGGTAAAACGAGTTCCTTTATGTGGCCTTCTGCCTTGGTTCTTTGTAAAAACAGCTTGAGAGTTCCCTCCCCCCCACCCCCAAGCCCTGAGGAGTTACCTTTGCCCTAGTTTTCTACCCCAGAGGGTTTGTTACATTTCCTGGGTAAGCTGTAAACAGCTTGGTTGGATTGCCTGGTCCTGGGCTGCAGCCTGCCCTGTGATTGGTATGTACCTTCCAGGGATTAGTTAACTATGCAAATGAAGTGTCTGTAGCTTATTATGCAAAGGAAGTCTTTGTGGCCTACCAAGAGGGGAACTGGTCAGTTTGCGGCCCATGCTGGGAGACGCCATCTTGAAACTGACAAAGAGTGGTGTATATACATGCAGACAGCCCCACAGGTTTTTTCCGAAAGAGACAGGACGAGAAGCAGAAGGAAGAAAAAAGAGAGAAGGGAAAAAAAGCAAGAGAGGAGGCAAGAAACCTCCTTAAAAAGCTGTAACATGGGTCAAGGGCGGTAACACTGAAGACCGTGACAGGCCCAGAAAGGGCCCAGTGGCAGAGCTGCAGCAGCGACTGACAGCAGGGCCCAGAGGAGCCTGTCCTGAGGGACTGAAAGGTCTGTCCTCAGGGGGCCAAGAGGAGTCTGTCCTCAGGGAGCCAAGACAAGCCTGTCCTTGGGGGGTCGAGAGGAGTCTGTCCTCGGGGGGCTGAGAGAAGCCTGTCCTCCTGTCCTAACGGGGCCGAGAGGAGCCTAGTCCTCAGGGGGCCAAGAGGAGCCTGTCCTCAGGGGCTGAAAGGAGGGCTGTCCTCGGGGGGCCAAGAGGAGTTTGTCCTCAGGGGCTGAAAGGAGGCCTGTCCTCAGGGGACCGAGGGGAGCCTGTCCTCAGGGGCTGAAAGGAGGCCTGTTCTCAGGGGGCCAAGGGGAGCCTGTCCTCAGGGGCTGAGAGGAGACCTGTCCTGAAGGGGCTGAAAAGAGGCCTGTCCTCACAGTGCCGAGAGGGGCTGGTCCTGAGGGGGCCTAGAGGAGGCCCGCCCTGAGGGGGCCGAGAGGAGGCCCTCCCTGAGGGGGCCAAGCAATGGCTGAGAGGAGCTGAGAGAGCTGTCTTGCACTGAAGAAGGGAAGGACGTGCTCTCCACTTCGGGGGAGTCTTCCAGACTTTTCCTACACACTTCCTGATCCTGAATTGCAGCCAGTTGATCCTGATCCCAAGTTGTACCGTTACTTCCTTAATAAACCACTTAACGGTAAGTACTGTCTGTGAACTCTGAGTGGCCAATGCAACGAATTATCAAAGCCAGCAGAGAAGGAGCGAGTGCCGTGGGGAGGACGGCTGATGTAGGAATTAGTAAAAAGGATGGACTGTGTCTGACTTCCACCTCCTGGAATGAGCCTTGGGCTGATCTTGCTTCTCATCATCTCCCGATACCAGACAGGTTTCTGACGGTACAACGAGCATCACATCTAAACCATAGGTCAGCAAACTACAGTCTGTGGGCCAGATCCAGCCCACCACCTGATTTTGTATGGGTTTGCAAGCTAAGGGTATTCACATTTTTAAATGGTTAAAAAAAACTCAAAAGGAGAATTATATTTTGTGATACCTGAAAATTATACGGAATTCAAATTTCAGTATTCATAAATAAAGTTATACTGTAACACAGCCATGCTCATTGCTTACGTGTTGTCTGTGGTTGCTTTTGTGCTATAATGACGGAATTAAGCAGGCAACACGGGGACTGTGTGACCCACTGAGCTGAAGATATTTACTATCTGGCCCTTTACAGAAAATGTCTGCCAACCTCTGCTCTAATCAATGAACAGAGGAAGCACAGAGATTATTTTCTTCAAGTTAGAACTTAAAACTGGAGAGAAGAAACCACCATCCCACAAAGTATGAAGAACAATACCAGAGTTCCGTAGCTGCCAAAGTACTCTTCGTCTTGCCACGTGTCTTCAGGGTCATCCTCCTCCCAGTGTTTTCCGACATGGTTAGCTGGCACGTAACCGCAGCACCCTGCACGCTCACCCCACCACCAATCAGCGGTGGTTTGTCTCAGGATGAGAATTTTTTCTCCTCTCAAAAAACTGAGCTGGGGAAAGAAAAGGAAAAAAAAAGAAAGTGAATAACCTACGAGTAAGATTAATAACTGATATTTCAACCGTGGCTTGATGATAAATCCTGGCAGCCAAAACATGGTCATTTCAAAAAGGAGTCAGTGGGTAGTTACAGCAACAAAATGACATCAGATGGAGAGATTTCTGCAAAACACCTACTGAAAGAACAGCACAGCTTATTGGATATTTTAAAAAAGAAAACAGAAGGTTAAATATTTCCAATAAGGCTTAGAACGGAATTTCTAAACAACCTCTTCACTGTAACTCGGTTATGCAGTAGCCAATTTAGTTACTGGGGACTTAACTCTAAAAAATTCCTGTTACAAAGTAAGGAAAGCTACACTCAAGCAGGTATGAAAAAAATAAATAAAGTTTCTCGCCTGACTTTTCATTAACTGGAGTAAGTTCTTCACCCAAAACTGGAACAGGTGATTCTTCCCCACCCTGCTGATGGCTCTCGTCCTCACCCAGGTGTCTTTCCCACCATGCTTGCGGTCTGAATTTGTTAGGTAAGGAAGAGAAAGGTTTCATGTGGTTCTGAACACCTGAATATATCTTTATTTAACTCTGGAGTGACTTCTGGTTAGGTCCCCCAGCACAGGCAAAACTGACATCTAATTTTGCCACGGAGCACACGGAAAGTCATTAAAAAATGGGATCTAATAAGCACGCTTCCTCGTGCGTGGGGCACGCAGCTACCTGCGTCTCATCCGTAGCAGAATAGTCTGCGATGGCCACAAACTCCTCGGGCTGCACGCCCTCCTGGAGGGTCTTCTCTTCACTGTGCTCCACGGCTGCTTCTTGTTCCTGCTCAAAGCCAAAAAAATCACAGGTAAAGGAAGGTGAACTTTCTTAAACATAAATCCTTCTGCGGGTCTCTGGCAATTTTCATAGGAGAAATGTCTGGATACGAAATAGATGTATCAAAGACCATGAATACTACTGACTCTGATACATACCACCAATTCCCTCTGAAAAGGCTGTGCCTTATACTTCTGCCATCTCTGCTTCCTCTGCTCATTTGTTGCTGAAAGCAACTTACCCATGATTCTATACCCTCGCCAACAACAGGTATTATCAATTGCTTTAATCTACGTCAATCGGATGGGTAAAATCCCATGTCTTCGTTCCTTCCACTTGCCTTTCTTTGATTAATGAGGTCAAACACGTTTTTAAGTACTTACTGGTCATTTGTCGTTTTTATTGTGCTTAACTGCCTGTCACATCCTTACGCTTTCTCCCACGATTTGTTTTAGAACAGTGTTTTTTCTTTCTGGTTCGCCCTCCATCCCCGACCCTTGCTACACCCACACTGTCATCCCTCACCCTTCACCACCATCTCTGGGTAATCTATACTAACCACCTGATGCACGGCCTTCCATACCTTCTCCATGCCCATGCCATGTGCAACTACACTCAAGCCCATACACAGAGGGTGTTTTTCCTCTTTCGACATTAAAAAAAAATATGTTGCTGTTACTGTGTGCCATCGAATCAATTACAACTCATAACGACCCTATAGGACAGAGCAGAACTGCCCCATAGGGTTTCTCAGACTGTAATCTTTACAGGAGCAGATCACCAGGTCTTTTCTCTCGTGGAGCAGCTGGTAGATTCCAACCGCCAACCCTTCTGTTAGAAGCCCAGTGCTTAATTATTGTGCCTGCAGGGCTCCTTTAAAAATATTAACAGATCCTTTTTTTTTTCTTTTTTTTGTATCAGCTTTTCTTACTCATACAATATCTTGTGGAAAAACTCCCCAAGGTAACTGGTAGAATTATAATCTATTATTTGCAATGGCTGCATAACATTCCACAGTATGAATGAATATAGCTTGAATTTTCAGCCATTTCTATCAATGGGC